AGCACATAGAAACCATGAGACCTACCATCTCTTTGAATTTTGCACACCGAGACAAGAGGAACACAGAGATAAAGGTGGGAAAGGAAAGACTCCAAGCAAGAAACTCAGATCTAGCAAAACCAAAACATTTTCAAGTCGGTCCTCCTTAAAGACCCAAGGTATTTACTACAGGCAGAAGACAGAATGACCACCAAAATAAACTGCCATCAGTATCAGTTTTCTCACTTTTGGGAAAACTGGGTGGTTACAGAAGATTCTTGGTTTTCTTTTTAATGGTTCCTAGTGGTCAGCTTTTGAAGATAAACTTCAAAGTTAAATCTTTAAACAGAGGGAATGCATATTTCAATATAGAAATTTTACTCTTTTAAATTAGAAAACCCACTGGGGTCCTTGGCCTACCAAACCTGTAGGGCCACTGACACTGGGAAACCATCAGGCTTACTCCTGTTCCAGGTTTGCTCCAGACTGGCCAGCATGGGGCAAACTGAGAATTAAAATAATCGTGTACCTTGTACTGAAGCAGCACTGACTAAATCAATTCCCTTTTCCCCGCTCCCGCAAGTTGAGAATTTGGGCTCTTCTGTTACCATCAAGCTCATTTTCTCCTGATCTCTCTAAATCCTATTTTGGAGGCCGTGTTTGGTGAAGGCATATGGGTTGGGAGTTCCAACAGGGTGCAGCCTGCCAGGGAACAGGGGGTTGCAGAAACACACTGTACAGTTGTTTAGAATTTATCTAAAGCCCCGCATGAACTTCCATTACCCACTGCTGGCTCTTGGCCATGTGGTAGGAGTAATATCCACTAAACGATCATGCAAATGAGCACCTGATAAGGCAGAGAAGTGCATAGTCACACCGAAAACTTGATTTCTGGTGTTGCCAATGACAAAAGGGTCCAGTCAGCAGGCCCAGCACATCTTTACATATTGAGAGCTAAAACCTGTTACTGATTAGTAAGCCTTCTACAAAGAGTCTAAAAACTCATAAAAATAATAAAACTAGACTGTTAATGGCATGAAACAAGATGAAATTTTGATTTTAGTTCAGATTTTTGAAACAGGTTTTTTTTGTTCATTTAAAAAAAAATGAAATCGGAACATTTATAATAAATAAAACTCAGCCCATTTCAAAGTCTCTCTACGTCATATCAGCACTTTTGAAGCAACATGGCATCAGCCCTTCCCACAAAGCAGCAGAACAGAACGGAGATATGAAGTGCACTTCAGATTTTCCATTTCAGCCACCAGAACAGAGACGAAGCAGCTTCTCCTGAGCTTATTTCTGACATGTCAATCAGGACACATATATATTTTTAATTCAGGTTTAGACATCAAAAATGCTGACTTACAATGCCATTACCAGAACACCGCTGAGCGTAACAGAAGGATTTGGGGACGGAGGGGAGTTGTTGGCTCTCAACGTAAACTGGGAGTTTGTCTTTTCCTGCAAAGCACACAGGCTTCGAGCTCTTCAGCCTCTCTCAGTCCAGAGATCACCAGTGAATCAGCTGCCACTTGCCACTGGTTTGTACATAGACATTTGCACAATATATATAGAAGCAGAGCTGATGTTCTCCTACAGCCAAGTACTTTGGCTAAAACTTGGTGAAAGCCTCGTACAGCTGAAATTGCTTAAGTCAGAAAATAAATGCAAACTAAGCAATTAAGAAAAAGACATTGAAGCTGATTCTATGCTTAAATACTTTCTCACCATGTCCTGCCAGTCATGTACACACCCCCAAGCATCACAGTCCCACCACTTCAGATTCAAGCCTTCATTATCTATAACTGGAGTTTGCACTATCCATTGAACGCTTTTGCATATATAAACCCATTGACATATCACTTAAAAAAATCTCTGACAGCTATTTGCAGACTTCCTAAATAAAAACACTTCAAAAGGCAGCTGGTCAGTGCAACCATAGGAAATAAGTACACAATAAACAAAATATCAGAGCCTGCAGATCATCAGCAAAAGAGTCATCCCCAATTTTTGTTGGGTGCTTTGCACACTCATGTCCTGATTCTCCGTGGCACAGAGCATCCATAATGTCAAGAGGAAAGAAAAAGTCTCAGAAACTTTCACTAAAAACCAACAAAAACCTCACACAATACACTCCCTCCTTCTACACTATCAAACCAGGCACACCAGAAAGAACAGAAATACTTCCAAACTTCTCCATTTGTTTCACTCATTCAAACATTAACTCCCCCATGTGTAAAACACAGAATGGCATCACCCTGGTGAGATCAGATGACAAGTCACTTTGAGGATGAGAAGCACGCTGTGAAGTCGATGTTCCTAAAATGTTTTATGTATACTGCTGGTGATACACAACACATTTCAAAGTGGTGCCTACGCGTCCAGAGCTGCAGCAGCAAGAGCTTCCCAGCGCACGCGGCACAGACTTGCAGCTGCCTTCGCGGGTGACAAGGAGCTGCTGTTGTCCCACCTACACCACATACGCCCGCTCCTAAAGGCTGCACCTTCTCCTCACACCCTGCAGCGAGGCTGAGTGTGGTGTTGAGGAAGGGAAGGAAGGAAGAGAGATGGAGGGAGAGGTGTAAAGAGGCGCGTGTGTGTGAACGGAGAGCAACAAGAGGCAAGCAGCGTGGCTTGCAGAACGAACGAGAAAGAAGCAATTAATACCCTTGCAGCCCCTTCTGAACATCAGAGCCTTGAGAGTTTCTGTTTGAGCTTCTTGACAGGCACGGCCTCAGTCCTAGGAGTTCACTGATAGGGGCTGACCTGCAAACATGCCTGTCTAGGAGCAAAAAACGAGTAAAATAAGGTAACGGAAAGAAATTTCAGAAAGGATTTTTGCTAAAGCAATTCTGCAGTTTCCTGCATCACAAATAATTACAAGGAAAAAAAAAAAAAAGCATGGGGGGCTCCCCAAAACAAAGTCGAGATTTCATATCAGGAAAGAAACAGCAAGAGCTAATAAACTTCAGGGGGGAGGGGGAAAAAAAAGATTCTACCTTACAGCTCCGTAAACGCCACGCATGGTAAACAACAAGCACACAGCATGGGAGCGGAAAGGCCTTTAAGCAAAACAGTTTCGAAACGTTTCCCTCGGATATCAGCTCCTCTCTAACATGAGCAGGAATTTGCCTGCATGAATCCCTCCTGCGCCGCTGCCAGATGAGACGTCTTGCAGCGAGGACATGACGAGCGTTTGGCCTTTTCCCGTTCACAGTATTTTTACGACGCTAGTAAGAGTACGACTCGCTGCCTTTAAAGCCAGTCACAAGGGGACTAAGTGTGAATAAGCTCAGCACATCAAAAGAGACGTGGTTTTATAGTCCTATAAAACATGTCTACAAATGCTGATGAACTACTTGTAGTCTCTCCTAA